AAAAGGAAGAAAGTGGGAATATCAACAATTGCTATCAACCTCAAAATGAAAGAATATTTATGAAAAATAGAAAGCCGAATACTAACTACGAGAAAGTCGAGAATCCCAATTGAACAACTTAGATTTAACGAGGCTACATTTGTGAGCATTTGGAACCTCAAAATTCAAATTCAAAATAATTACTTTCTCGTCAATAAATGATGCTTTCAGAATCTTAATTTGTGACTCCAAACCCGTTACAAAAAAAAAAATTGCATAAGGTCAATTAAAAAATGATGTTGGAAATCACCATCTACTTAAACATATCAGAAATCCAATAGGCATATAAGAAACTGAATAAGACTAAACAGTATATTCTTATCAAAAAAAAAAGCCTAAACAGTATAATCGTAGTAAATTAGTAATATGTATGTACCAACCTTTCCATCTCGTGTGCTAATTGCACCTTTTAGATTTTGTTGATGCTGTAAGAGTGTTCCAATTTGTATTTGTAAAGAATAATATTCACTGTTTATCTGATTCAATATAGCTCTCAATCGTTCATTTTCCATGTTCACACGATCAAACTTAGACTTGAGAACTAAAAACTGCAGAAGAATCAATCTCAAGTCAAAGAACAACACGAATATTAATAATAAACTTTTCAAACAATAGGATCATTTGATCTTACTTCTTTGGAAATTCCCCACGACGCGTTATTAACTGTAGTAGATTTGTCAACGGCCACTACGTTTGTCGTCAAAAGATTCAAACCAGTCTATAATCATGAGAACAAAGGAACCTGCAATTATGAGAAACTAACTATGACCACTCCACCTCAACAAAGGAACACATTAACTGATGATCATTATAGGCAAGAGAAGAGTGGTAAACAGTATCACAAAGTTCAAAACTGGAATTAAGGCAATAAAACAAATATTAAAGAAGTTCATACATGCCATAAAACTAACATCAAAGAACGGTGAAACATGTTATATGGTATACCTCTGCAAAGGACTCATTAGGGGGGCATAATGCTGCTTCAGCTTCATTCAGAAGATTCATCTGAAAGCATGATAGCGCAAACAAGTAGCGGCATTGAGCCATATGTGTTCCTTCAAACAAGTAAAGACAGAGATAAGCAAAATAAAAGTGAATGTCACTTCAAGAAAGCAGAGAAACAATATAAAGAATCAAATTCCAGGGAAGATGCTCAGATAACAAAAGAGTGCTTCTTTTGGGTGAAACCAAGTGGTCTAATCCAGTTATAAAAGGAGTAGATCATGTCACAACATACCCTTCAAAATGTAGTATGCACTATGTGACAGATTGTTTTGCAAGTAACAGCTGGCAAGCAGCTGCAAATTTGTCTGCATTAAACATGGTACTTCAATAAGGAGATAAAGCTATGATAGTCGAATTTAGTTTAGGCCATCAATCTTTATACTAAATTACTAAACAAAAATAATATAAGCACAAACTCATAGACAAATAGACCCAATATCACAATATCTAATATAATATGATGCATTAACATTTACTTTGTAGAGTAAACGGCATCAACATGACATCATCCATCTTTCTCATATCACAAAATGTTAAAGCTAACGTAATTTTCTTTATTATTAAACATATGATTCCATTCTATTAACTACACAGCTTCTACACCCATAACGAGCATCAAAATCCCAAATATTTTTAAAGTTGAATTAAAACTAAGATATGCTTTGAAGTCTACACTACTTATTTAAATGATGCTCATTTATCAACTTTTGGGCTCCTCAATCAATATCATCAACACTTTGGCGTTACAAATTTCACATAGATGTCTGAGATTCCAATAATTTCGAATTGAAAACACCAAAAGGTTAGAGAACATGCTTAATTCCCTCTTATTTCAACAATTTATTTACACTCCCGAACATACATTAGTATGCTGCGATTGAAATATTTCCTCAAGGCATTCCGCAAAACCCAAAATTTAGTAGAAGATAAATTTGTAATCAACACAACGTAACAGCAGAAATACTTGTTAAACTGAAGCAGAAGCATATTACAGCAAAAAAAATCGTCCGTTTACATAATTATTTTAAAGATTCTATGTCAAAAGTGAATACCTCGGAGGGGAACTCGGAGCAGAGGCGTTCGCACATGAAAAAAATACCTATGGACATCTTATCAAAGCAAGAATCTCTTGATAGACGACATTTTTTGTGCATCTATCATGTGCAGTAGATTTGTCAGATGGCTTTATCAAAACTTTTATAGATTTACTTGTTTTGGCTCTAGACAAAGCAACATATAACTGTCCATGAGAAAATACAGATTCCGGAAGATACAGCCCAACGAAATCTAAAGTTTGACCTTGTGATTTAT